TTTCGCAACAGTTGTGCTTGGTTTGTGATCTACGCGTTCTGTGAATTGTTCGTGTGTTAACGGTGGCAAATCGGTTATTATTAGTTACTTATCCCATTGTTCTCAGTCTGCATTGCTTCAAAAGTATCAAGGTTACTTGGATAAAAAATTGTGGTACCTGTTTAAATTGTTTGAATACATTATTTGAATAAATTTATTTAAATAAAAAAAAAAAGGAACAGCAACGAGTGGTATAGATTGCTGAAAGCAATAAAATCTATAGTGCGTTTCATCTAATTTGAACACAGTTTCACCCTCGATTATTGCCATATATAGCCTGTCCCATATTACATTCAGCTTGCGGCTCAAATTATTGAGAACAATGTCGGCGTGCTCCAAATGTCGTATCAATTTGACAGATAAAGAGGTGGAATACAAGATAATTTGTGACTTCTGTGGGTCCTGGAATTGCGTGGCCTGTTCAAGGTTCTCAACCTCAGAGGCTCAGGTGACCCGGTTAAAATCCAGAGTAATGCTTTATGCGTGCAGTGGCTGTGTAAATTCCGTGAAGTCGCTTGGTAATGATGTTGGCGGCGGCTTGAAAGTGCTAATCAGAAATATCACCAGTGAGGTGTGTGACACACTCTACACCAAACTTGCAACTAATTATAATGATTTAAAGTTGAAACTGGATGGTGTTACTGACACTGTTGGTGAAATCAAAGCCACTCTTTCTTCACTGGAAAAACCAATCACTTCTGCAGTTAATAATCTTTCGGAAATAGACAATACTAGCGTTATCATGCCTAACTCAGCGGCATCTGCTGTTTATGATATGAAGCTAAGGGAACTGGAACAAAGTAACAAAGATTTACAGACAAAGTTACTCAAACTTGAGAATGAGTTCCAGCTGCTTACTGCAACCCTGAATTCTATGAAAACTGCATCAAGCTGCTCAGGTTCTTCGCAAACCCCATCTCAGTTCCCTCCTAATCTGCGGGCGGTACCCATCAGGAATGAATCAAGAAGCTTTCAGTCATCAAATAGCCTGCAACTAGCTGGACAGCAAAAGTCCCAGCGACCAATCCGCAGCATAGAGCGCCAATCAGTGCCTAATCCTGTGAGAGTATCGGACCGCTCAAGTAATAATCCTGTATTAATTGGCACAGGTGCTGATGGAGGTCTTTTTTCTGCAGGTGAGAGACGCCAGTGGCTATATCTGGGTCGATGTGATCCGAGTACCACTGAGGAACAGATCTCTAACTATTTGAAGAATCAGCTCTCCATTCCTGATGTCAAATGCTTGGTGTTGGACAAAAATGAAGATGTGGTTTCATTTAAAATTGGGGTTAAAGAATCACTTTTGAAGGGCCTGCTGGATCCTAACCTCTGGCCAGTAGGCATTGCTGTCAAGGAGTTTCATCCTCGTCGTATGGGGGCAAAACCGTCCAATGCAAATTTTCAGAGAGGAGACAGAGAGGACCAGTCTCGTTAGATTGTGCTTCCTTTCTCTACCAAAATGTAAGAGGCTTAAAAACCAAACTCAAAGATGCTTTCTGTGCGGCTCGCGCCGAATCTTTCTCAGTTATTGCACTTACGGAAACCTGGCTAGACTGTAGTATCTGTGATGCCGAATTTCTTGACTCGTGTTACACGGTTTATCGCTCTGATAGAAGCAGTCTGAACAGTACTAAAAGCCGTGGAGGTGGGGTCCTTTTGGCAGTAAATAATTGCCTAAAATCTCATCGCCTGTCAATTGGTGAAGCATCGGTCGAGGAAACGTGGGTGTCTGTTACGCTGGGTGACATGGTCTTCTGTATTGGCTGTGTCTACATTCCACCTACCATGGATGTGCTCCATTATGAAAACCATTTGAAATCAGTTGCTAGTGCCTGTGAAATGTTTGATAATGTGCTTGTTCTTGGAGATTATAATCTTTCCCAAATAACGTGGTCCACTAGTGAGGATCTCTCGGGTTTATTACCTGGAAATGTAAGGACAACTAAGGAAATATTGTTATGTGATAGTACTGCTTCTCTTAATCTGTCTCAATACAATGGGGTGGCTAACGATCATGGTTCAATCCTGGATCTATGTTTTGCCAACTTTGGGCCTATTTCACTTGTAACATCTGACGGTCTGGTGGGATGTGATCGTTATCACCCAGCTCTAGAGTTTTTCATACCTGTTGTTAAAGCTAAATTTCTGAAGCCTCTTAATTATTTTTCTTATGACTTTAAAAATGCCAATTTTGATTTGGTTAATGAATATTTTCTTTCCTTTGATTGGCGATCCATTATGATGGATGATCTAAACGAAACTGTTAAGAGCTTTTACTTGGTACTGTTCGACTGCTTTAATATGTTTGTTCCAATAAAGGCACATTCTTACAGCGAGAAATTTCCTATCTGGTTCTCTAACGAATTGAAAAATCTGATTTTTCAAAAGAAAATTGCTCACAGACGATTCAAGCGGTCGAATAGAGGTTTGGATTACTTTGCATTTAGTACACTTCGGCGAGATTGTAAAAACCTCACCAAAGAGTGCTATAAATTATACATAAGTGATACTGAAAGAGCCATAGGCACCAATATGAAAATTTTTTGGAACTTTATTCACTCCCAATCTAATCAGGGTACTATTCCTAACGAAATGTTTCTTGCCTCAGAAAAGGCGTCCAACGGTGTTGACATAGCTAATCTTTTTGCTGTCTATTTCTCCTCCGTCTATAACCCTCAGAGAAATTCCGACGCTGGAACCTTTGCTGATCGATTTGAGAATGTTTCAAGCATTGTCATAGATCCAACAGATATTGAGAGGGCTTTAACGCAATTGGACATCAACAAGTCTGCAGGACCTGATGGTATTCCCAACAAAGTACTAAAATCTTGTTCTAACACTTTGTATCTTCCTCTGTTTAATATTTTCAACAAATCATTATCTTCTGGAATTTTTCCAGAAATGTGGAAGCTCTCCTACGTTTGTCCTATTTACAAGTCAGGCAGCAAAAATGATGTAATAAATTACAGACCCATCAGCATTCTGTCTGCGATTCCAAAATTATTTGAGCAGTGCGTGGAAGGAATTCTTTCAAAAATATTTCATCAGATTGTGATCAGTCAACAGCACGGTTTTACAGCCGGTAGATCCGTTGAGACGAACCTGTTTCTCTTTACAACATTCATAAATTCATCATTTGCTAATAATGCAGAAACTCATGCAATATATACTGACTTCAGTAAAGCCTTTGATAAGGTAAATCACAACATCCTTCTTTCAAAGCTTTCAAGTTTCGGCGTTTCTGGACATTTATTTTCATGGATGAAATCATACCTTACTAACAGAATGCAACAAGTCAAGATCGATGGCTATCTTTCTTCTCTTTTCCATGCATCCTCTGGGGTACCCCAAGGTTCTCACTTGGGCCCCCTTCTATTCAGCTTATTTATCAACGATTTAGGATCGTTGCTCTCGTCAAATTTTTTACTTTTTGCTGATGACTTGAAGTTGTATCGTCAGGTGACGTCAACTCAAGACATACTTATTTTGCAAAATGATCTTAACATCGTTCACGATTGGTGTCAGCTTAATTACATGTCCCTCAACATCGATAAGTGCTGTTGTATAAGATTCAGTAGACGCACCCATAGTGTTCCCTTGCAGTATTACTTAAACAATGTTCGCTTGTCTGAAGTTTCTATCATTAAAGATCTTGGTGTCTATCTAGATACTAGGCTAATGTTCACTGAGCATTTTGAAGTGGTAATTGGCAGGGCTAATAAAATGTTGGGGTTTATTAAGAGAGCTACTAGGGACTTTACAAGTATACACCCTATCAAAATTCTTTACACATCACTGGTCAGGTCCGTTCTTGAATTTTCATGCATAGTTTGGTCACCTTACTATCAGATCCACATCAATAGGCTTGAGAGTGTTCAACACAAATTTATTAAGTTTGCAAGGTACAAACTTTCTTTGAGTGGTGTAATTCTCAGTGAGGACCTGACTATGACTTATTTAGACTTATCTACTCTTGTTCGCAGAAGGGAATATTTTGATGTCTGTTTTGCATTTAAAATTCTTAACTACTACATAAAAAGCCACGAATGTCTTGAATGTTTTAATCTACACATTCAAAGTTATCAGACACGAAGTAAATCTTTACTGCACATTCCTTACTGTCGAACCTGGTACCTACTATTCAGTCCTGTGAATAGAATATCTGCCAATGTAAATAAGTTCTGTGAGGGCCTTGAGTTCTTTGGTTTATCTCTGGATAAATTTAAGACGAAGGCCAGGAGAATTGTTTTAGGTTAGATTTTTTTTTTTTATTTAGATTTAAACTCTGTTCAACTTCAAATGTATTTTTCTTATACGTAAATAAATGAATAAATAAATAAATAAATAAATAAATAAAACTTTTATTAAGAAAATTTTTTTGTAGAAAAATAAAAAAAACTTTAAACTACCCCTATTGAAAAACGGCAGGGGGTGAGTAAAAACTTCATAAATCAAAAATGTTGTATGTGTTGTAGAAAATTTTTTCACGTTGGTTACAATTTTTCATTTTCATTATAAAATTTCAAACGGCCCTTATGACCACAGACAGCCCTTAATCAAAAAAGTCTTTAGATAAACATTGTAGATCAAATAATGTTGCACATCTTTTATTTGAAACATTTTTATGTAAAATCAATAGGTACCAAGTAATCGCCAATGGCGCACTTTCAACCCCTATAGCGCAAAACGCGGAGGGGTGAATGTTTGATATTTTCGGTTTTATGATCACCCACCCGCCCCCTATCATCCCTGAAAAGTTCATTTGGGTAGGATTTTTTTTTTGAAAATCAACAATTTTCCTAGACTATTGCTTGAAGTTGAGTTTATCGCCATAATTTTGATTCTTGCAACCTCCCGAGGTGCGCCATGTCCGATTTAATACTTATTGCCTATCATGATCCAATCTCTAATTTTTTTTCCCATAAGATAAAGTGACATTTATAGTCTTTTCTCTTTTTCAGAAAGACGATGTTGTAATCCTAATTCGCAGAATCAACGGAGATTGGCTTTATGGAAAGGTCTTTGACAAAGAAGGAATGTTTCCAGACAATTTTATAGATATACAAGTGCCACTAAGCGGAGAAGACCATATCGTAATTGCCTTGTATGATTTTCCTCCAGAAATGCCAGGCGACCTTCCATTAAAAACTGGCCAGAAAATAAAGGTGATCAAAAGGATATCTGATTGTTGGTTATTTGGAGAAAGCAATGGTCAAACTGGCCAGTTTCCTTCTAACTACATCAATCGAGTGCCTGATAATTTATAAGTAATTACTTATCTTCTTGAATTTTTGAAACGATCTATTTTGAATCGAGTTTTGAATACATATTTATTTTTTTATTGAAACTATCTTATTTTATGGAATACTTATCTCATTTTGGTATCTGTTTAGAGTTTAATGTAGTTGTTTTATTTTTTGACAGGGTTGAGAGTATTATTAGAAATGTGATGTTTAGTTTAGTAAGTTATATCACATTAAAAATGTGATAATAATATGTGCCTTCATTTATCGTCATATCTTGTTATTTTTGATACCTATTAAAAATTTACTATTCATAGTCACAGCTAATTGGTAATAAAAGTAAACATTTTTGTACTAAATCGTTAGTTTTATTGCTCTCAGACCAGTGTTTCCGTCACGAACTAGTTCCCAATAATTTTGAAAATCAATCCATTTATATTGATTCCAACGTTAAAATGTAGATTATCAAAAAAATTGAAAAGAACATGAAGCAAAAAAATGACAGTTTCTCAAAAATGTTTCAAATGGTGTAATATTTGAAACCAGCTTATCCAATTACTTTAAAATTTGTACATTCACAGGACATGTCCGCAAAAATGTTCAATGCTATGAAAAATAAATAATGTTCTTGAAAGCTGAAAGCACATGAAGCAGTCTATAACTAATACAAGAAATATAGGTACATATAATATACAAGTTACGTGTCTATTTCTTAATCTATAAAATAGTGAATTTTCCCCAAATAAATAAGTGGCATACCTATATTCCTATGTTCAAAATTTACAATCCCCCAGATTCCTTGAGGTACATTTAATTTTATTCAAAAAAAATTAAGAACGTCGGGTGGTTTACTACAGTCAGAACTCACAAGCTTAATCTCTTATGAGCTGAACACTTCCCACTTGAAGTATTTTTTTTATACAGGATTGTTGATTATATTCAAGCGCATACCTACAGCCTCAACTAGTTAAGATCGGAAAAAAAAATACAAAAAAAAACTTGACAGTTATAAAGATTATATCTCTTGACATTCTTATGAAATTTCTTTGCAAATGATTTATAATAATGTCAAAAATGGCTCACGCAAATGTGATCAATATACCGGGTGATTTACGTAGCCTGTGCATTAGAAACTTTTGTGGTTGCAGGGGGATTAGAAACTTCAAATTTGGTTTGAAGCCATAATCAATCGTTCCGGTGTCACCTATAGTATATTGTGTATTTAGGTGGAAAAGTGACACATTCTCGGCCGACGGTGTAAGTTGACGGGCGAAGCGTAGCGGAGGCCGGCAAACACCGAGGGCCAAGAATGTGCTTTTCCACAGAAATATACATACTATTTTTTCTGCGATCGGTTAAATATCTGTTAAATGTTTATCTTTTTGTTCCAATTGTTCAGCAGTACTATTGAGTCTTGCGACCTGTCAACCGGTCAAAAATGCGGACATTTCTTGTCAATCGCAGAAAAAAAATCTTTTCAGGTCTTAACTGAACTATACAGAGGGTGTACCAAATGTAAGCACTATCTTTTTTATTTCAAATAGACAAATAGAAACTGGCATCTTTTCCAACATAGTTCGGTTGGCATTGCAAGTTTGAGTTTGGACCACCCAAGTTTTGTCAACCTATCTTTTATAGTTTTTGACATAAATGTAATTTTTTGTTTTAAATTGCCCCTGCAGTTATTCAGAAAAAACAAGAGTCTGAAATAATAAACCAAGTTTATTGGAAGATAAATAGCTGAAGGTTCAGGCTAACTCCTGATTTGTCATTAGTGCGCCCATTTCATATCATATGAGTGCAGGCGACCTACAAACATCGGAATCAATAATGGCCAAAAAGTCAATTGTCTCAAATTTTTTGGCAGCATTCGAAAGAAAATACATGGCGTTCTTAAGCATTCCATATACCTAACTTGATTCGTTATGGAGTTATCCATAGAAAAGTCCACTTTTTCTCACTAGGCAGTCAAAATACACCTTTCGCTCCTGTCAAGTGTTAATAGCCGCTTTAAATGTAATTCGGAGAAAAATAACTATTTTTGCTGTTTGTTTATGTTTTTTTTGGTTTACACATCAAGGAACTGGTGGACAAGTTAAGGGATTTTTTGATTTTTATGAATAGCGTCGATAACGAATAAATTAAGGGATGGGGAATCCTTAAGGCCACGTGAAATTAAATTTTCTTGCAAATGGTGCCAAAAAACATAGGTACCTATACTTACCTAAGTGAAATTTTAAAAAAATTACTTTTTGACAATTATTGATTCCGATGTTTGTAGGTCGCCTGCACCCATATGGTATGTAATGGGCGCACTACTGACACATCAGGAGTTAGCCTGAACTTTCAGCTTATTATCGTCCAAATTTGGTGCATTATTTTGGAATGGTTTTCGAGAAACCTCCCCAGTAGCACAACAATATTGGTAAAATATTATAATTACAGGTATTGGTCCAACGATGGAAGCGTCAGATTTTTGTTATTGGCCCCATATATGGGTGTCCCACGGTGGATTGCGTATTAGACGTTTATGGAGAAGTAAATAGCGGATCATTTTGAAAATTTGGTAACCGGGATAAACGACCATGGTCTACACTTCAAAATATTTTCGACCATGCGGTGTTGCCGCTTCTAGCCTAAACCAGTGGCAACATCGCTATTTTAAATGGAACACCATGTATATTTTTAAATTTTTGAATTCGGCATATAATTATGAGCAACTTTCCCTGATACTTCCCTACCTATCTGTCGCCGTTTTTTGGGAATAAATTAATTTCATTTTTTTTTTAAGGAAAATAGGACTTCCAATAAATCCTAATATCTCCCTCCTATAAAACAATTTTGAGCTGAAATTTGGGTTATCCCTGAACAATGTCTGTAGGCAAGTATACAGGATGGTCCAGAAATTAATTTCTGTCGGTAAGTTACAATAATGCCAGAAAAATTATTTTTTCAAAGGGAACACCCTGTACGGATTTGAAAAACTGATGAAATTATTAGCTTTCAGAATATGTATACTTTGCCTATACAGTGTGATTTTTGAAGTGTGCAACATATGGGAATTTTTTTTAGTAATAGTACAACCCAAATACAAACAAGGCCAGAAGTTGGTGCATGTCTGATAATCATATTAGGTGCACTTAGAATGGTTGCAAGTCAAACAGCATACAGGGTAGCTCAAACAATATCAAAGCTGGTACTGTAAAGTACCCTTATTTTAGAAAATTCAGCAAAATGTTATAGAGAAAAGTTGTTTGGAATTAAAAGTTATGCCTAAATACCAAAACATAGCCTCCTAACATTTTTTTTATTTTCTTTCGAAAAAAATCTATAATTTCTATATTTTTTTAATTTTTTATTTCCGCCCTTGAGACTTTCAAAAATTAATTAAAACCAAATCAATTTTACATAACTTTGTTCAAATTCAAGCATATTTGTAAAATTAACTTAGATTTTTAATTTTTTATGGAATCACAAAATTCATGTTTGTTGCAATGAGATTCAACACAACTTTAAAATGTCGCAATTTTTTTTTTAACAAGTTAAAACATTACTAATGATAATAGCCATATTAAAAAAACTCTCTTTAAAGTGCAAAAGTTTTATTTTATTTAAGTAAATATTAGTAGAATTTTGATATTTTTTGAGCCACCCTGTATGATGTTTGACTTGCAACCATTCTAAGTCCACCTAATATGATTATCAGACATGCACCAACTTTTGGCCTTGTTTGTATTTTGATTGTGCTATTACTAAAAAAAAATCCCATATGTTGCAGACTTAAGTAATGACACTGTATACTTACCTACCTAATTCTTCATGTTTTCGATTTATTAGCATTTATTCATGAAATTTCATAATCGACAAACTTTCAACAGTTTTAATAGTAACGGTGGGAATAGTACATTAAAATACAAGTTTCATAAGACGTCATTTTATCCCACGAGCCCTATAATAGAAAACGAGCCGGAGGCGAGTTTTCTAAAGGGCGAGTGCGATAAAATGTCTTATGAAACGAATATTTTATAGTATTTTTTCTATTTTGGTGTTGTTTAATTAAAAAAAAAACAAATTTTTTCTTAGAAATTTTATTCTCATATTTCCTGATTTCATATGTTTAGGTTGGTAATACTACATGCCAAATATAGAAATCTTCTAATCAGCCCAGGGACTCCGTGTCATGTAGAATTCTACATATCGACAGGATTCTATAGGCCTGGCACACTGTGCGGCATGCGATATGTTTCGATATGTCGAATTCTACATGGCACGGAGTCCCACCAGGCCTATGATGTAGGTATCATTTTCTGTTATTTCAACAGCAACGTTAAGTTATTTGTCACTGTTTATTCTATACGTAAAAATAGAGACAAGTATAGATTTTGAGCTATAACGCAACTGTTAAAATAACAGGAGAGGTTACATCATAGGCCTGATTATAAAATCGCGAATGACAGTTCGATGGCCATCAGTCAGCCAGTGTTACCAACCTCCGATAAGTAAAAAAGGAGTGTCACAAAGAACTTCTTTTCAAAACTACTATTTAGTGTCGAAAAGACTTCGATATGACACCAAAATAGAAAAATAAATTTTTTGTTACATCCCCATGACAACTTGTTTATAAAAATGTCATTCTTTTAATAATTGTGATTTGAGTACCTAAATGGTGGAAGATAATAATTACTCCAACACAAGTTGGATATATAATAAAAAAAACGGGTCCCTTTATTTTTAGTTTGGCACATTCTTTCGACCTTTTTATGGAATTTACTCCTCTCTTAAGGGTAGAAACCACCCCCAACTTTTTTTTTAAATGTAAAGATATGTATTGTGATAGCTCGTTGGAATGGGCATAAAAAAAGGCATATGACCCATTATTTACTTTCGCATTTCGGTGATCTAGTTATATAATTATTTTTACATCAAGACTCTATTTTAGGGTTGAGAATCCGAGTATCAGGCATCAAATAGTATGTTAACGTCAGAAATAATTGCATAACGTTACAAATGGGGCCTGTTTCGCATTAGGGTTCTACCAAGAAGAAATGCTGAAGATATTCAACAATTTTAACTGTAAAAAAATTGTGTGGAAAAATATATTTTTATTTTTTTCTTGCTTTCTAGATCACCGGAATGCAAAAGTAAATAATGGGTCATTTTCCTTTTTTTATGCCCATGCATTTCAACGAGCTATCACAATACATACCTATCCTAACATTTGAAAAAAAAAAGTTGGGGGTCGTTTCTACCCTCAAGAGAGGGGTAAATTCCATGAAAAGGCCGAAAAAATGTGCCAAACTAAAAATAAACGGACCCGTTTTTTTTTATTTCTCC